TTGACTTTTTCGCCGAGCGGGTCTTCATCCCAAGACCAGCGAAATTATTGAAATTGATACCTAGACGGTGCGCAGGCTCGGACTGGCCATAAGGCCAATCTGCCATTGGCAGATACGCCCCTTTGGTGCGCCAAAAACGTGCCCCTCTAACAGATAGCAAAATAAGAAGGGGAAAAAAATTACGACCGAGAATATATGCGGCTTTCTTGAATGAACAGAAGAAGAAAGAGTTAGGAGTGAAGAGAGGTGCTTTTACGCATAGAGGATAGAGGTGAACAGAGGTCTAAGAACTACTTTCTGAAGAAACACTTTTCTGTGAAATTGTCACCTTTTTGTTGACATACAGGCGCTTTATCATCCCCCTCCTTCATTCTCTGCATGTAACTCCCGTAGAAGCGATAGCCGGTTCGATAGACATACGCACACTTTATTAGATCTCTTTGAGAGACCTTTAAACGTATTTCTTCCTTTTCAAAATGACTATTGATTTGAACATATCATAGCATATCTAGGGCAGACTTAACCTTACTTTATTTCGAAATTCAATAGTAAGAGACATCTACAGTGTAAACGCGATACAACTATTCTCGCAATAAGATGGATGTCCACATTGCATATGAAAAATGTAAGACGCGATGGCGTAAGTCGTAAACTCGCAATGCTCTGCTCTAGTTTGAAGCAACATTATACAAATAAGACAAACGGAAACAAACACAACATGGAAATAGAGGGAGGGAAAGGATGCGCGTTAACGACGGCGCAGAGATACAACTATTCGTGCTTGATGGACGTCCGTGCTGCATCTGAAAAATTGAAGGCGCGATGACGCGAAGCGTGAGTTCTCAATGCCCTGCTGTATGCTGCCAATGAGGTATCGCTCAGATTCGGGAGAAAAGTTAAAAAAGAGGCCCGAACACATCTCTCCTACCTTCGGCTGTGTTATTCACGTAGTGCTTGAAGCACCATTACGAATAAGACAAACGCAAACAAACACAATATGGAAATTAAACGAGGGTAAGGATGCGCGTTAACGACGGCGCAGAGATACAACTATTCGTACTTGATGGACGTCCGTGCTGCATATGAAAAATTGAAGGCGCGATGACGCGAAGCGTGAGTTCTCAATGCCCTGCTATATGCTGCACATGAGGTATCGCTCAGATTCGGGAGCAAAGTTAAAAGAGAGGCCCGGACACAGCTCACGAAAATAATGACCTTTTTTTTATATACTTAATAGTTACATAATAATGTTCACTTTTAACACTTTCGTATGCATGCGTTATAAAAAAAAAATAAAAAAAATTGTCTATAAAAAAATATACCTTAGGTATCTAGCTTTTGTCATTTTTCATATATTATGGTCAGGTGTAAACTTTGATTTTTTTTATACATGCGTCACACGTTTTTTATATAAAACTGCCATTTAGATAACAGATATATTTTTTTTTACTTTTTTTTAGAGAAACAAAAATTTGTTCTGCTACTAGGGATTGGGAACTCAGTCATCTGGTCAAAAGAACAGGCGAAGATTTCATCAAAACCCGAGAGAGACAGGCGAATCATTACTATTTTACGAGGATTTTATGCTGTCTCGATTCATTATTTACGGCCACAAATCACGATAACCCGAACGGACGAGCATCGGCCAGATGATTCAAACTCAGCCTACGCGGGTTCATTAATGAGCTAATTAGATACCTACCTGCAAATGAATAAAAAAAGAACTTGGAGATCCACGATTACAAAAGCACTATGTCATCCGGCACGAGCAATGACTCTAGAGTCGCCAAAATATTGCCTAGCAATACTTGATTGGTAATATTGCATTAACATTACGGCAATGTAACATAAGACATCGAGGCTGACGTTAGGCCACGGTCACACGAAGCGCCCAATTTAAAGGGAATCCCGATCGAAAATGACGTATAAAGCGCCGCTTTTCAGCGAGCGATATGGGGGTGGGAGGGAAGATCGACCGCAAGGGTAATTCGAAGTGGGATCAGTCACTGCGCAACTTGTATGTATATACCTGAAGTAGAGGACGGAAACAAGAGGCTTGACGTCATCATTGTGGACGACGTATGTTGCTGAAGTCGCTTAGGGCCGAAATTTGTCTGCACTTGCACTGAAGCCCAACATTCACTGATAAGCTGGCACAATGTAGCGTCGACCAATCGGAAACCTCAAAACGGACTTTAGTGTGGCCGCGACCCACCTTTAGAACCGCGTTCTGGCTTCCCTCATTAAATTTTAGGAGGTACCTCGGCCGGAAAGTCCAACTTTCAGGAGTCATATATAGTTTTTTTGGGGCGCAAAATAATTGTATGCAAACGCATCATGTGCTACCGCTGTCTCGCGATTGCGAGTTTGAACAAATCGACGGAGTACGTCATGCTTTTCTGAGTGCCACGATGCCCAGTCTCCCAAATTTTTATGCGCCAAAGCTCGATTTTGAGGCGCACGCACGCAGGCTTGCCATCATTTCTTCATCTTCAAAAGTCCTGACTTTTCCTGAATTTTTTTTTGCTTCTTTCCGACTCTAAATTTTTTTACTTACCTGATCTCCACAGAAAATTTCCACTAAAAAAAAAAAAAAAAAAACCTTTGACTTTCGCTAAACTATGGACTTAATTACCTTATTTAGAGATCGATTAAAGCATATAAAAACAGTTGGAAGATTGCAGTTATATGTTTTAATGATCAGTGGTTGTGTCAGAAGTTCTCTGACTTTTCCCGGTAGCCGCAAATCCAGTACTCTCCCTGATTTTCCCGGTTTTCCAGACCGCCGGCAACCCTGCACGCGCATGGCACCCAAGGAAGGCAGAGAACTACCAAATACACTGAAAAAAAAAAAAAAAAAAAAAAAAAAATTGCTAAAATACGCTGACAAATCACCAAATTAGTAAAATCAACCCGGTGTTCTTAATCTATTTTGATAAGTTGTCACCTTTTTTCACTATTTCATGTGTTGATTTTAGCAGTTTTTTTTTTTTTCAGTGTATCTAAGAACTCCCGTTTTTTCCAAGGAAATTTGACCCCCGATTGTACCCCGGGAGTACGAGCGTGCGAGAAAAGCCACGATGGTGTCGCGTCGGCGGCGAAGGCTGGGATTACGCAAGCGGGCGCGGGCGCGCTGGCGCTCTGATGAAAGGGGCTGTGTGGCTGTGGTGGCAGTGGCGATCATAATATGCAGTGGACATAATAGCCATTTACTAAAACTCGAACGTGCGCGACATCTAGGCCGCCGAACCGCGCGCCGCGTTGAGGTGCGTTGCGCCAGTGGGGAATTTCGGCGATGGAGTTAGCCCCGGGAAACCAGGGGACGCTCCGTGGGAAAAAGGACATGGTTCAGGTTTAGGCCTGACAGTTGAACGCATCGCTCGTTTTTAATTCATAACTGAAGCTGCGGGCTAATTGTTGAAGTTGATAGACAAAGCCAGGGACAGAGAAGACTAAAGGGATATGGAGGGATCCTAATGGTGAAAGCGGGTGGTTGCAATAAGGTAGGTGATAGACTTACTAATGGCAACCCAAGAGAAACCTTATGGTTAGTCCATCATTTTCCCCCTTAGTCTATTGAAACCAACCATTTCAACCAACAGAATCGTTTCATACTCTATATCTTCTTCATCTATTACTTAGTCTATCAATTTTAACAATCAGCCCGCTGGGCATCGATTTGAAGGCATTCAGCAAAAACCGAGTCGCGGTTTAGCCGCAGTAGTTGGAAGCGATCGTGTTATCAAATGAACTGTAGCAGCCGCTGGACTTCCAAAAACAGGTTCCACCCATAACACATTTTTCCCCGCGTAAAGGTTCTTCCGATGTTATAACCGAAAATCTCATTAGGCTATTTAACGTTCAAAAGATATCTTATCCTTCACCAACTGAAACTGACCTCGGCTGGAAGGATGGGCAGAGAGCGCACTGCATTAGCTTGTTGTGTATGTTGCCTATCTACTATTTGAAGGGGCTCGTCTTGCGATAAAATGGAGACAAGTTGCAACTTTCCTCTGCATATAGCAAAATTGTCTATTTTTCGTTTGAGCGTTACAGCTGGAATTTATGGACCAAATTATGTAACAATATTGCGAATTCATGGTAAAATGCTATGTGGGCAACTATTGTAATGCAGTATGGACATATATCAACAGGGCCGGATTTACCTACTTGCCGCCCATAGGCCGCCTGTATTTTGCCGCCCCTTTCTCATTCGTTTTGAAACATCAATAAAAACCATCAAATGAACGTGCCAGCGGGGGAGGGGTGTATAAGATGCGTCTACTCGTGTTGGACACATTTTTTGCGAAAGCCCTGTCAACACTACTAGCAAAAGTTTACGGAACTTTGTGCGGAAGTTAAGTTTCGTAAACCTATCTCTGTGTGGACAAGGCCTTCCATTCATAAGAAATGAATGAAAAAATTATGAAAGAACAAACATAAATGTGGATTAATAATTTTAACTTCCGCCGCTGCGCCGCGCTGACCGCACCGTATTTGGCGCAATGCGTGAAGTATTCACGCAGTCTTGTAGGCGCTAATATGTGTTACATGCCGATCGCCGCGCCGAGGGCTTCTCCTTTTCATCTCAAGTCCTCGTCATCATTTCTCTGTAAGTCGCGCCGTTCCAGGCCAAATTGCGTGTTTCAACTATTTGGTTTCTCTCTTCACTTGAATAATTAAAGGTGCTGTCTCTTTTATCTCTGGAAGACGACAAAATTAGAAATTAATATACTCTCAGGAAATGAGAGATTTTGTCACCTTCTCTCGCTTGTAATTTTTTTTTCTAAATCCGATTTTTTTTTATACCTACACTTAAAAAAATTGCAAAATTTGCCGCCCCCTATAGATTTGTTGCCATGGGCCGCGGCCCGTGTGGCCACCCCCTTAATCCGGCCATGTATCTCAATTTTTCAAAAGCATTCTTAAAACTAATACTGGCCAGCATGGCTTACTTTTCCTGATTTATATTAATGTGATATGATTTTGTTCTGTTTCAGATTTTGAGCTTCTTGTGCCTGTCGGTCTTACTGGCGGAGGCTATGCCGGCCCCTCAGACGACGAGGGCGACGATTTCGGACGAGGCTTTGGAATCGGCGCTCAACGACAAGCGCTACCTCATGCGCCAGCTCAAATGCGCGCTCGGAGAAGGGGTCTGTGACCCAGTTGGCCGACGGCTTAAAAGTGAGTCACCGACACTTTTTATTATCCGAAGCCATTAAGTCCTCTCCGTGCTTCATTCCACTTCCTGCCGACAGCGACGTAACTCCCCGCACTCGACTCACCCATCTCGACATGACCTACCACCATAAGGTTTAGATGAAAGGGTTATTCGTTGAACCTTTCCTATGGTGCCTCGCCCGAGTTCGCTCTAAAAGCTATCCTGCACGGAGAAAAAAACCTCGTGCGTGGGACCCGAAGTTTAGGTCATATGGATCTCTGAAGTTTTCGGATTGAGCATCTGAACTTTTTAGGTCTAGCTGTCGAGGTTCGGATCACACATCTGAAACTCCAGTTCTTACATCTGAAGTGCTTCAATGTGAGAACCGAAGTTTTTCGGATGTGAGAACCGAAGTTGTTCGGATGTGAAAACCGAAGTACTTCAGATGTGTGATCCAAACCTTAGCAGTGTTCAGATGCTCAATCGACGGTGAAACTACCAAACCACGTATCTCGGTTTGCGACCTCGCAGACTTCCTGTCATACTTTATTTTTTAAAAGAAAAACTACTTAACGTCCAGTCTTAAACATTTCTGTGATTTTTCCTCTTCAGGCGGAGAAAATTCTGTGAAAATTTCAAGGAATGATATTGATTTGGTCTACTTCAAAAAAATAAAATGTGAGTGTAGATTTTTAAACACCGCAAACGAGATACGTGGTTTGGTAGTTTCACCGTCGCAATCCGAAAACTTCAGAGGTCCATAAGACCTAAACTTCGGGTCCCACGCACGAAGTTTTTTTCTCCGTGTGCGGGCAGGAGGGAGGGCTGATGATTGAAATTCATAGATAAAGAGAAAATGGAGTGATCCTTTACTGCAGTGCTAAGGAAGAACGCCGTATGAACGTTCGAGACTTGCCAAACGACTTCGATGAAACGTTTATTTTCAAGGAAAGTGATGCATATTTTGTAACAATAATAAGCCTGCTGATCAAGGTGACAAGACGCACTACTGACCGATTTAAACAAAAACGACCGAGTCACATCAAGTTTGAGGCAAGGGAAAATGGTTTAAGGTTTTGTATGTCTATGGGACTCAATATTAGAAGGTCTGAGATCAGTAACTGAGAATTTTTACGTTCATAAAAAAAAAAAAAATTCGACTTTGAATATATGACGGAGAAAATTTACGACCAGTAGAATTCCAAACTTCTCTTGACTGATTTTTCATTCGAAGTCCGACTTGGTGTGTTTCTGTTAAACTCGGTCTAGTTTGCCTTTGGAGCTAGATCCGAGCATTTATCAGGGGCGAAACAAAGTTCTAAAATGCCAACAGTTTCCCGCGATTCTTTTCCTTTCTTGGAGTCTCGGCCTAACGGGAAAATATCCGATTTAATGAAAAGAACATGTTTCCTGAAAATTTATGATGTGCCCCACTTTTTTTTTTTTAAACAAAAAGCAAAAAATAAATATCGACGGTGAAAGTCGGCAATCACATAACTCGGTTTGCGACGTCGCAGACTTCCTGTCATACTTTATTTTTTAAATGGAAAACTACTCAACGGCAATTCTTTAAAACTGTCATGATTTTTCTTCTCAATGCGAAGAAAATTCTGCAAAAACTTCAAGAAATAATATCAATATGTTCTCCTTTTAAAAAAATGACGTAGAGGCGGAGATTTTCAGACACCGCAAACGAGTTATGTGATTGCCGACTTTCACCGTCGATATATAGATAAGTAAAAGTAAAAAGAAAAGGAGGAAAAAGATTATCACTTGGAAATCGCCTCACGTTTGCCGCGATTCGTGGAAAGCAAGATAGGGATTTTTTTGTGCCTCTGCACAGTGGATTGAGTCGATTAGAGAGGTCGGACATGAAATTTTTGACTAAAACTGCAAATTTTGATGTTTAATTAGTCAAACTTTTAATTTTAAGGGGAGCCTCTGGAAAAAAATTTCACAAGAAAACCAATAGAACCACTTTCAGAACCCCAAGAATTTGAATGAACGGAGTTATAAGCGTTTAAAGTTTCCAATTTTTGTCCGACCTCTCCTACTGACTCGCTCCACTGTGCTCCGGCTGAAGTTAGTCCCTGATGTGATTTCAAGGGAGTCTGCAGCGTTATTTCCGGAAAAGACACCACGTCGCGTTGCTAAAGTTAATATTTTGATGAGAGAACCTGCCTTTAAAATGCTTGATTTCTCAGTGAATCTAGTGTTCAATCGGGCAAGGTACCTACGTTACCTAAGGTCTTCCAAACAGGATTGCTGACCCCTTTTCCGAGCGACCGAATTAAAATAAGGAGGCCACGAGGGCTATCCGCTCCCTTTCGACTGGAGATAATGAGCTTCAAAACACGGGCCACACTAACGGCTTGACAAGGGTATTAACAGCTCCAGGCACTTAAATTGTCACACAGATTGATAGCTATAGATGCTAGAAATCAGGACTCGGCGTCGAAGCGACTTTAGGGACGGTGAGGCTACGGTTCCATAGACAAGCGCGCGACGCCAAGTTGGACGCGCGACAAACCAACCGGGTGCAACACCTTAGACGATTCGTCCCTGGTTCTTGACGTAGTCCACCTGGCGGGTGATACATCGCATCGATTGAGTCAAAAATTTCGGCAGATTTTGACTTTTTAGCCAAAATAAGGGACGATGGCCCCTGCGCATGAGCCTACAAGATCATTATCGACCAAAAAAATGGCAACATTTTGACTAATGAACCCAGGAGTCTTCCTTAAAATAACGTAGCATTTGTTACAGTTGTCGACCTTCGCATCAAATAAAACGATTTATTCCAAGAAGAATCCTACTTTAATTTCTCTCAATTTTGTATTTTTTTCTTCTTCTTCCTTTGAAATGATGAGCTCACAAGGTGGTCAGAAGTCCCTAAATTTAAATCTTAAAATTCCTAGACCTTCCATGAGAAATTTTCCGACTTTTTGAGTGAAATTGCGATGCGCACTTAGCTTAAGAGGTAAGACAGCAGAAAAAAACAAAGTTGGGAAATTAAAAACCTTCACCTTCCCATGGTTGGACCAGACTTACCTACACTTCCCGTCACTGCACGAAATAATTGAATTCGTTAGAATGAAAAAGAACCAACTCGGAAAAATGAAAAAGTCCAAGTGACATGAAAAATTGCACAGTGGGGGAAGGAGATAGGTAGTCAGAAAAAAGCTTTTGGGTGCCAGAGGACAAAAACGCAATCGGATTAAAATTCCCTGATTTTCCCGGTCGTTACAAATTCCCTGACAATTCCCGGTTTTCCAGACTTTTGGCTACCCTGCTTGAACTTATTAAACTTTCGGGATTTTTTGCTGGAGGAAGTTGCAAAATCTTAACCATTGAAATTTAACATAGCACTCAATTGCTGTTGGTCTTGGTCAGAATAATCCTCAAGTAACAACTAATGAATTGCTTTCTTATTGCAGCATTCGCGCCGCTCGTTCTGCGAGGTGCCTGCCCACAATGCTCCCCAACTGAGACCCGACAGATCCAGAAGGTCCTTTCACACATTCAGCGGCATCATCCAAAAGAATGGTCAAAAATTGTCAAACAATTCACAAGCTGAGGAACTTGATGGATAGACAACGAAGCGGCAATTTATTACTTCAATATTTCTGGGAAAAATAAAGAAACAGAATGTCCCAAGGAAAATTTACTGCTGAAACAGCATTAAGAACAAGCGCTGACCGTTGGAAAAGTACTTTTTCTTCCATTCGAATTTATTAAAAGAAAATTTTGAATATAATTTTTCAAAGCGTTGCCTTCAAACACATGAAATCTTTAAAGTTGAAAGTAAGAGTGCTTGCTGATTATTTTTCCTTACACTGGAAAAATTATAGAAAAAGTAGAAGTGAGATGTTAGTAAAATTTTCTTGGGAAAAAAAAAATGGAGGCATTTCGTTTTAGAGTTGGAAATTCCAATTAATCCAATCCTAGGGCAAACCATTTTATTCCAAAAGATGGAGGAAATCTATGGTCTTTCCTTACCTCTAAAGGATAGAGCTAACTTTAAATGTTCCTTCCTTAACATTTCCCTTGCCGGTGCATTGCAATTTTTTAATCCTAGAGCTTTTTCTTCTAAAAACGCAATGAAATGCAGTTAAAAGTGCTTAAGGTTAAGTTACAACTCCAACAATTGTACAATAACTTAGTTGCTAGAGCAAATTTATTTATGAAATTGGTATTAAGAATCCTAGATACTTTTGAACTGTCGAATCTAATCAGAAATCTACTCCAAAAAGGCTAGTATGTAAAAAAAAACAGTGCTGGATTCAAAACTAAAGAAACTTATTCTGAGAGGTAAGGTCAACACTAGAGGGTCTCGTCCCCACCCTATCGCACGCATGCTGCATTGCTGCGAGCATACCTCAAAAAGTTGTGAGACGCTCATTTTAGATAAAGATTGGGGTTTGTGCATGCTAATTCTATGTTCTCATTTGGACCGCACTAAGCGGGAAGGAACCAGGTCATGTGAGTCATTGCTAGATACTACTGACAGTTTATTGTTTTACAGGAGATCTGTGGTATGTATGGATTCTTTTGAAAATTTCAGGGAATTTGATTCGCATCACACAGGAAATTCCCAGAAATTTTCAAAAGAATCTGCGCTACCGTATTCCCATAGAAAATAAGTCATCCAATGTGTGGCAATTGCTTATGCATCTTTGTTCCTTCCTGCTTGCTTGATGTGGTTCATTTGTACAGTCAGTTCCTTCCTCAGAGAAAAACTGAGCTGAAGTCTGAGACACTAAATGATTTTAAGTGACAAAACTGTTTGGAGCATTAAAAATCATGAGCTGAATTTTGATTCTCATCGTCAGTTTGTGAATTAAAGTGCTGTTTCCATCTTTCAGGTGCCTCATTTAAGAGAATACTTTATGTACATAATCTTTTTAAATTTTAAGACAGCAATTTTGTAAAATAATTTTTAGTCAATATACCATTATTTAATTATTATTAGTATTGTGAGAGTTGATTAATCCACTAAAATAAGCATTACCATTTTCTGCAGCTTTACCCAGGTAATCCTGCACTTACAGTCCTATCTCTTTCAATCCTTGCTCAGCAACCCATTTGAAACTATCAAACTCAGGTTGATTTCCTGACAAAAAAGACCACTACACCACAGGTGAACCGAAAAAAGGGGTTCATGCTGTGAAATAAAAGTTATTATTAGGTAGGCACTCCAAAGGCAAAATTAAATGAACTTAATAAAAAATCAGAGTGCGAAATGCACATTAAAAGATATATTTTAAAAAAAAACCGACAAGCATTTCCATCTTGTGTAAAAATGCCATGACTCCAAACCTCATTTTTCTCTGACGTAGAAAGATGTTTTGTTACACAAAAACTACTAGTAATTCGTTCTTTCGATGCTTATAATGAGTGCATCTAACAAGGGGTATATCGGTTTTTGGTAAACCTTAGTTAAACGGTTCACAGCCTCTCGCACAAATCTTTAAAATGGCATTTCTGTGTTTGAACCATCTAGAGAAGACAACCTGTTCTCTGAAAAATACTATAATCTTTTCCCTATAAAATGCGAGTTTTACTACAATAGCTTTCCGAATGCTTTCATCACAAAATTACCATCTTGCAGTCCAACTTAAGAATTTTTGCCTGCAGAATAGGTTTCATCTTCATCACTGAAACTTGAGAAGAGAGAGACAGATGTAGCCTATTCGTAAAGACATTATTAACACAGGGTATGAACATTTTTAGTTTTAAACTTAGATACTGACCCTTCCATTTTTCTAAACCAAACTTTACTTCCTGGCTACACCTGATTTTCAACCTTCCTATACTTCAATCGATTTCACTTTGAACAAAGGAGAGAGAGAGTTCTAAAGAAAAGCTTATGTAGTTATTATCTTCCTTTATTTGTTTTTGGGTTCATTTTTTGCAACAAGTTGAGTAAAAAAGATGATACAAAAGATTTCAACTATGACAACTTGAAAACAAATACAGGGACTAATACTTTCAACATGGAACAGATAGAGTATTTAAAACTTAAACAATTTTAATAAACACTTCACAGCGCAGATTAGGCCCCATCATGGAATGAGCGAGAGCAGTTTGATGAGACTGGGGACTACAAATAAATGCAAATCTCAACTTCATGATTGATAAAAATAACTGCGTTGCTTGGTTTTGAAACGGGGAGAGCAGAAAAAAATAGTGCTGATACGGATCTGTCATGCTTTAAACGAAGCAAAAAAAAATGAAATAAAAAATAAACTATCTGTGATACAATAGACCGGTTCAGCACTGAGTTGCGTTCAGACTGTTTGATTTCCACCGATACAAATTAAGAGGAAATGTAGACTTGTTGTCAACTACAGAGGAGAGAACTGAAGAAATCAAAATATTGTAGAATGAAATGAATTAAAATGGGCTGAACAACAATTTAATTCCTTCGGATCCTGAATTTTCATCATGACTAAAGTTCGTGTCTAGGAGTAAGTAATGCAAATCTTGTTTTGCAATGCCCCAATGGTTGGAGGCAAGAGCCCTGAGGAATGGTGATTTTTGATAAAAAAAATAAGATTCTAATCCAAAAGACTAAGCTTTTGCGAGGAAGTGCCAGTTTTTTGTCTTTCCTGCAAATCAACGGAAACTGTTTTTATGATGATCCTACAAGGTCTTCGTTAAGCTCAAAAACTGAGGAACACCGGGAGGAGGGCTATTGAAAATTGATGGCAAAAACTGGACACTGGTTTATTTTGAGCACAATGCTCTAGGAATGTAAGAGTGGGTCTGTTCTAGGAGATGTTTGGTTCATTTTCATTTGTCGGACACAAAAACGACCAGAACGAATATGATGAGACGAGGATCGATGATTGCAAAAATTGTTTACCACCAATTCCGCCTCATCATAGGTGCCATTGAAGGGAGGTTGGTGAAGAAGAAAAAGAAAGAGAAATGATTAAGATACAGGGCACAAGCAAGGCCCAGTTCTCTCAGCCTGGACGATAAAAAATCAATAAATAATAAAGGCATTGAGTTTTAAAGATCTTGGCAATGATTAAAGAAACAGCTACAGCTGTGCATAATGTTTTGGGACTATAGAAGCCCGAGTCCTGGTACAAACAAAAAAACAGTAGATTTTAAAAGTTGGGCGAAGGTAAACTTCTTTAATTTATTATTTTTTTTTTTAGTTTTTAGTTTTTTGTTTTTTTAAGTTTTTTTCTGTGTTTTTTTTACATACTTTTTTTCTAAAATGTTTTTTTTATATTTTAATTTTTTTTAACATTTTTCAAAAGTGTTTTAATTTTTTTTTATAACATTTATGGGTTTTCTGACTGTTAGTTATTTGACTGCTTTCAGAAAGCAGACTTCATTTACGAATATCTATTTGCAATTTGAAAGTTTTGAATTGTACGTTTTTCAGGTATTCCATGAAAAATAACATCATGATGAAATAAAAACTAATGTTGAAGATATACATTGAAAGAGAGCACACACCTCAAATTCAATCTTCTACGAATACTGGCTATTGGAGCAAGTTGAAATTAATAGCTCTAGAAGAAGAAAAATAATGATAATAAAAATAATCTCCATTGGGAAAAAAAAAGAAGAAAAATCGGAAAATTGCATTTTGAGGAGCACCTACGTACCAGAAAAATCAGTCTTCGAACAATAAAAACTATACTAAAGGGAGAGAAAGAAGAAAGCTGAACATAACAATACAGATAGGCGGAGAAAATAAAGAGAAGACAGCCAGAATACTAAAGTGGTATTTTGAGAAAAACTTTACCGATAATAATTGATTTTTCTGCAGTAAAAATAAAAAAAAAATGTCTTTATAAAATGCCAAGAAAAGTGCTTTTCCTGAAGTTATTACTATATACTGCCAAAATTTGTAATTTTTTTTCCCATTATTTTTTTCTTAGGAATTCCTAATTTTTTTTTAAACTTTTTGATCTTTTTGATGCGTACATGCATAAATTTTTTGGTACTTTTTTTGTTTATTTTTTTTTTTTTTTAAATTTATATGATGCATACAGAATTTCAAGGACAGTTTAAGCCTGAGGCAGTGAGAAACCACTGATTTGGAATAGAAACTTGAGGTCCTCACTGGAAAAGAAAGAGTAAAGAAAAGAGGCAAGATGATGGAAATAAAGAATAAATAAATATGTGAACAAAGAAATAAATAAATAGAGAGGAGCAGAGAAAGAAATAAAATTATGAGATCATTTGAGAAAATTTAACCTAAAGATGGAGTCCAATTTGCGCGTGTTCTTCAGGGCTTTGTGGGATGAGTTGATTACATTCCTGATTCGATCAAATACTTCTGCGTCAAAAACGGACCGAGCAGTGTTGGTTAAATCGAACGGCTCTGAAACACATGGAACACAAGAAATCACAAAACAGCACGGAGTGTTAGGTATACATGATGGAGGAAGCTTAAGTACTTAACAAATGTGTGTTTGTAAGGAACAATTTGACAAATATAATTAGAGCCTGGGTACAATAATAGCAGGGGTGCAGAAACTTTTTGATGTTTGCAAGTTAAAGTAGGGAACCTGATTTGCAGGATAGCCTCAATCATGCCTTAAACTGGTGAGTTCACTTGTAATTTTAAGGATAGAACAAAAAAGAAATGTTGCCACTAAAAAACTTACTGTTTTTGAAAATGAAAAGGCTGAATGAAAAATAGGAATGCTGAGAGCTTTTTGCGACCCTAAATAAAAGAGCTCCTGAAGAACTGAGAACAGAGGACTTGGAAATTATGGATTTGGGTAATCGCCAAAACTTCAAGGATATTTAACGACTTGCTAATTCTAAAAATTAAATCAATAATACTTAAGAACTTTTTAAGATGTTTAACACTGAAAAAGTGAGAGCTTACCTTCAATACATAAGTACTTCCATGAATGAGGTTCATTTTTGAGAGAGCGATTTTTCCTACAATCTTCTGCGGGAATGCGACAACCAAGTCTAACTGAGATGGCAGAGTGAACAAAACTGAAATGAATGAGACAAAATATTACGTCAGGAAGGAGTAATAAATGGGGTGAGTGAGGAGGTACATACTATGAAGGTTTTCCATTAGGTACAAACATTTTGAAAGACGGACCAGTATTCTTCTTTGTCTCTTTCTTTTCTTCAAAAATTTCATGACTTACAGTCGAGGATTTACAAATGTATTCACAAGTTAAAAAATGAAAGCAGCAAATCCTTAGCTTCGTTTTTAATTTTGTGAAAAGGAGCAGACACATTTTCTTTAAAGATAATGTGTGCTGAAATATTGGTCTTTTTTAGGCTGGCAAATACATCTCCCAATCTTGCTGCATTATGGGAAATAAATAAAACAAGTTCTTTTAGTGAGCTAAGCCTGAGGCCTCTGGTGAAGTAGAAATGAACATTTTTCAGAACCCTTAATCAATGTATTCAAACAATTTTCCATTTCATTTCAAAAGCTTCATGGTCCTTGGAAATAAATTGATTGATTTTTGAAACTAGAAATCAGCCAAATTACTTTTCAGGTTTGTATGATTGTTGCTCCCAAGAAAGTTAAAACATTCAGTGATGTGATATAAAAACTTTATAATGGTTGCATGGAATATTCAAACATTTTATAAACAATGAGCATAACAGTTCATTCATAGTGCCATGTTCCAACTGAGAAAGCTTGCAAGATTAAAACTCAAGAGTTGAAAATTGGGCATGGGAGAAAAAGAAGATTTGACAGCACATCCTCAAGGAGAAAGTGGGAGATCATTCCTGAGAAAGAAGACAACTTACTCAAAAGTATCGTAGTAATGGAAGAATTTTATGAGAAGTTCACCCAACGTCATCTTATTTGCTGATTTGTACGGCGGGAGGTCTTCGTGCATATCAACTTGCGATATGTCTATTTGAGGTGAAAACTTTCCTGGATACATTTTGTGCAGGCAAGGAAGGACGGGAGGGTTTACACCACCTAAAAAGTTCAAGTCAAAATGGATTTAGAAATAAAAATAAAAAAACAAAGAAGAAGAAGAGATAAATAGCATCTACAAATGCATTAAATTTGCAAACATCCTGTGAAACGTAGGTACAAGAGGACTTAAATGTAACAATAGTGGGTGTCAAGTTTTCACATTGTGAGAAAATCCAATTTGAAGTTTTCAAAGCTTTGCACTTAGCTGCCCGTAGAGCTGAGAGGAGACTGATAGAGATTTTCATGAAAAGCAATTCTTCCTGTAAAAGACATGCATTTCAAGATTTATGAAAAAGAAAAATTGAAGGAGTAACAGCGATTTGAAAAAAATTTGACATCCACTATTTTTGCTGACAACATTTTTTTATGCATGAAACGAAGTCCTCAGGAAGGGTAAGGCTGGTGAAACGATTGAAATGAGCCAATAGTAAGTCAATGCTGAGTCAATTAATAAAATTGAACAAAAAACCAAATGAGACAGCTTGGCAGTCTAACCCCTTAATTCGCTTCATGCCTTGGGCATTATGCGGCGCTCTTATGATTCTATATTTTGGACTATGATGAGGTACTGAAGTCTTAATTTGGTGTTGTTTGGCACAAAGCTTCCTTTTCTTAAGGACCTCCACCAATATCAAAATTAATAAATTATGAGGAAGAGAACATTTTTCCTTACATTGCAAAAAATGGATGACCATCAAGGATAGGGAGTAACTTGAGATAGTCATGTTTTTGGCATCATTGATGTTGTGATGGTGCGCCCATAATTTGATGATCATCACAAGAGGCCTCACTCGCCAGTCAGCTAAAAAGCAAACAAAAATAATGAGATTTGGTCTTAATAGGTCTATTTAAATAGCTATTACTTACTGAAGAGGATGATTACACAGAATAAAAAGTTTTTCAATTGGAAATATAAATCAAAAAGGAAAATCAGTAGATCCTTCAAAGGAGAAAAACATGCGCTGATGAATTTACATTTTTTACCTTAAGAATATGTTGTCCAAAGTCAATAATTGATTTATTTTATGGAAAAGTCAAGCTTGTGCAAGTATCTTTAGATTTTTGACAAAAAAAAAAAAATTTCTGACTTTCTTTCACTAAAGATTTTGTCTCATTAAGCTGAAATACTGGTTTACACGATACAGTCTCAAAGCTAATTCTGAAATTGGAGCAGAGATCAAAATCAGACACTTTTTCAGCTACCTAGATAAGATTATTTTCATGTCACTCAGCTTAATGAGAGTTGAGTTATTGCTAGCTGACAAAAATAAAGAGGGTTACTTACCTTGTGCGTAACAGTAAAGGAGGTGGGTATTACGAATACCAACAGCATTGTTGCAGTTCAAATCAACATCAATTCCTTCTTTAGCGACCCGGAACTTCAAAATAGGTACTTTGGCATGAATTAAATCTAATTTTTCCACAAAATCTATAAAACAAGACAGAAAAAGAAGTGAGAATATTAAAAATGTAAACTTTGGTGGGCGGAAAAATAAATGGAAGATTTTTACTTAATTTTATCTCTGCCTCTGCCGAATGATATACAGATATCGACAGACAGCACTAGGTTTTGAACATCATCACTGATTGAAATTTACTGATGAACTGTACCTCCTTCTTGCTCCAAGGTCATAGTTTGTTAGTGTTGCCTTAAGTGAATCTGGATGAAATCGCAATCGTCAAAGCTGTAACTCAATTCATAATGAGGATCATGTTGTCAACTCCGGAAAAAATGATAGGTGGAAGAATTGGGGCTCTTCAGTAGTTCTTGTCAATAGAATAAGAATTACTTACGCAGTTTGTACAGGTACTCAAGTAAATTTCCGAGATGGTAAACAGCTTCATTCCGCTGGTCTATTTCGGAATTATGAACTACTAAGCACATATCTATATCACTTTTATTAGTTCCGAAGCCAGTCATGGTCGAGCCCACTAAACACAGGCCATAGCTTGGGAACTTGTTCTAAAACAACAGAAAACGAAATAAAATCTGATAAATATTCTTGTCCTCAAAACAACACACCTGAAAAGACACCTTAAGGAATAGTAGACACAGTTGGATAAAATTACAATTTGACACCAACTGCATTAGCAAAAAAAGGAAAAACTACACAAATTTATTCTTTCAGAGAATCTCTTGCCCAGCATGTAAAAACCAGCTGCATCTGCTGCACAGTCCCATTTCACAGTGCCTTTACTAGATACAATGGGAGGAGGAAGCAAGTTAAGTCAGGGGTACAGTAATAAAATGTAAATTGAAGTTAAAGTCTTTATATTTATTGTAAATATTTGCAGTTATACTGCTATTCAGCAGGAAGTTTGGGGGGACTGTTTATTCCACGGTAATTTTATACAAAATACAAATTTTCCACTAAAATGGCCTTTCAGGATACTGTACGGAGTGTTGTCTTAAAAATGAAAAAATGGGACAGGAGTGAGATTATAGATTCTGCCTGTCCCCGAGGTGAAGGAAAACTTCTACAGTAAGACCTCCATTTTTCGGATTTCACGGGACCGGAGGCCGAATCCGTTATATCACGATCCACTAATTCGAGGTCTTACTGTATTTTCCTGACACAGGAAGTCTGTAAATGTTGAGAACCTTTAAAAGATCATGAATAAGTTAAGAAAACGAGAATAAGAAGATCAGAAATCAGGCGGCGACATGAATTGATGTAAAATGAAATTAGAGAACTGTTCTTAAACCAAACCAACCTAGCTTGTTCCTTTGTAATTTTTGAAACAATTACAGGTAAAAAATGCGACTAATTAATACCTGAATGAACTGGTAGAGATATTTCCAAAAAGAAACTTTTCGTCTGTACAAGTCTTCTGACTGCTGATTGAACACAAATTTTTCCCAAATGGCTTTGGATAACTGAAACAGAGAGAGCAAAATTGAGATTTAACCGCACAACAAAAAAGAGGGAAGAGCCAAAAGAATTGGTTCAGATCATATTATGTGATCATTTGAGCTCTTTCATGCCACTAGATTCTTTTTAGAAAGAAAATAAATGACTATCTTGAGATTTACGGAGGAAAACAAGCAGGTAAATCCAACACGTCGTGTTGAAAGAGCACGCCTTAAAAATATATCTATATTATCATACTCAGTATTAAGCTTTTCCTAACTGGCTAACAAATTATAATCGCCCTAAAATCTTGAGGTAGTCTTTATTAATACTTCACTGCTCTAATAGACACCCTAGGCTCTTTTTTATTCCAGATTGCCTACCTTTCTAGTGTGTGGAATAGGTTTGATTGAATGTTTACTTCTTGCACTGACTGACCAGATGGTGTAAAAATCTTGCAATTTTAGTTAAAAAATAAAAAATTCATTGCATTCAACTGTGAAAGTATTTTCACACAGATTTTTGAGTCTCTCTACAGGCATTGCGACGGTTCAGTAGGCCAGCAGGAATGGGTATGAATGAAAGTCAAAGGTGACTTTCAACTACTATTCACTTGGAAAAGAACAAAGGTACTAAAATTGTACAATCCCATGAAACTCATTGGAATCTGGACACTCAGTTCCGTATTGGAAGGTGCAGCTTTTTTTTAATTATAATCGGAAACAATAAGCGAGTTCATATATTTGAAAGCAGCGAACAACCTTCATTTCGCACATAATGCACTGTAAGTGTCCAATGAAACTATGGGAACCGAATTTCTTTACCCTAACCTCAATTTTGCTCATAGTTTTTTAAAACGCGATTTGCTTGAAGCAAATGAATACTCAAATAAGTAAAAATTAAAGAACTTTACAGGCACAGAAAAAGATCTGATTGGTTCTATCAATAACAGCATTGATTAAAAAATAATTACCAGCAATCTAAATGCTCTCAAGAATTATACATCACGATGCGAAAATTCAAGTATGTTCCCACCACAAAAATGGCTTAAAATTAATCAAACAAGCAATGAGACTCGATACAGCCGCTCAATTGTTGAATCGATATTGAATGACTATGATCGATAAAAAGCATTGCTAAGATGATAATTCGATAACAATTCAACGATCGACCTGCAGATATCATACAGCTGAGTTCTCGGCGATCGCAATAAGTGTACCATACGCATGGGCGCGCTTGAAAGGATTACTTTCATGGTTATGCTGAAAGAAGGATACAGAGAAATTCTGATGCTAAAAAATTGAAAATGGAACTTACATTGTCATTTGTTGCTATTAAATGCTTCGGTTGATCTTTGATTTCCATTAAATGAGATCTTGCAAGAAATCTATCAGGTGAGTAGTAAGATATGGGCGATCTGAAATTGAAAAGTTAACCGGTCAATGTGATTTCATTGATACAAATGCATATTTGCATTCTGCACCATCAAAAGATCATTGAAAGACATCAAAAAAGCAGTGTTAGTTTCATTTTGATGGAGATGAAGAGCGTGAGAGATCACATTTAAATAGTTTTCAAAGAGACTGTTATCTGTCAGTTAATGACCAGTCAATTAGTGGAGATTTAAAAGACATCAGATCAATCGACATTTTTGTTTTCTTCTAGGTGCTTAGAAAAGTTCATGGAATTTTGAAAAACCAAAATTCAAGTATGAAGTATAATATTTACGAATTTTTAAGCAAGATTGCACATTTATTTAATTTTTTTATCAAAAGAGAACATCATCATAGTACCTTAATACTTCAATAGGCATTATCAATGCTTTATTTGACATTTTTTAACTATCTCAGAAAGTGCAAAATCAATACTTCGACAACAGATAGCACCTCTCAGCGACTTAATGGATTCAATTATGCTCTGCATCTCTCCTGAGATCTGAGGTGAATCCAAACAAAGCATCAGATAACATGAAAAATTGAAACTTTGGGGCTTAAACTATCAGAGATGAACACTTAGATTGGTTGAAATTGACTGTAGGAAAGAAAAAGGGTCCTTTTGAGGCTTGTGTGTTCTTAGTTTGCCTTCAAGTAAAACAACATTACGTTAAATTTAATTGAACTCCAGACTAACTACTTCCATTATTAGTTCAATATTTATTCCTGTTTTTAGGTATTGAAGTGACTTACTTTGATACTATTGGAGGCGGAGTGTGAAATCCCATGCTGGATATTTTTCGCAGAGGGGGCGGACGGTTATTTTGTTGAAAAGGTGGATGATACTGAACAAGAACACGTTTTTTAGGTTGACCCTAGAAAAGGCAACAGTGATTACAAAATTAGTTCAAAGTGGTCCTTATTCACTTGAATACATACTAAGCAGTTGGGAGAGGACTAATTTTAAGGAAAAAATTTGCCGAATGAAACTACAGTAGAAAATGCAGACTGATAAGTAACCAGAAAAACAGAGCAGTTAAGGCTCTATTTGGACAATTTTTTCTATCTTTTTTGTTTTATAAATATTTTTAAGATTGATTTATTTAATACAGCCGGTTACCACAATATGCTTGCCAAGTACCCAGCAATTTTTGACAATTTCCCCTTGCAGACCTTTAAAGGAAACAGGTAGCCTCATTTAATTCCTTTACCAAGCATCATTCAGACGTGAGCAGAAACCATGAGATTTTTTTCTTGATTCATTCGTAAACATTCCTAATCAAATGGTCTACGTTTCAATTAAGTGATTTCTTGACTAAAATACTATTGGGCGCACAATATGACATGAAAAACACCTGGCTCTTGAATTAAAAGGACTTCCCTTCCTTTGATACGATGATTTCGGACCATTTCAGTTGTCAACATATTTTTAATTATTTTCTGGTATTATTCCGATACTAACATGATTAAAATAATTAAAAAAGTTATGACAGAAACAATACATCTAATTCTGACAAACCTGATAATTCATGTGAAGGATATTCGAATGACTATAGCCTCGATTCACCGAGAAGTTGCGATACTGTGGGTTAGAGCCGTTGAAGTGCAGCTCACCATTCATAATTTTATTTGGTGCTGAACCGTTCAGTTCATTTAATCGTCTGGAAAAAAAACAAAAAACATAGTCATAAAGAATAGAATGAGACATACTTCTTTGGATCAGGGAAAAACTGTGGTTGGTTACTAGATTGTTACCCATATTTTTCGTGGGAAGAATATTATCTTAAGTTAAGTATATTCTGCTCCTTCCCCCTTCCTTGTACAGCTTGATTTGACCTCTCTTTACGATTACTGGCAATGGCAATGGCATGGCTGGCTAGGGTATTTTTCTGAAGAATTTCATGGAAAAATGCAGGAACCTCTGAAAGCGTTAGAAGAGAGTCCCACATGTCACACAAATGGCAAAAAAACTGTCAGAGTAACTTTGATTCTACAGCATCCGGGAAAAGTTCTAGCAAATTAAACGATTCCGAAAATTACATTAAACTTAAATCTGGGAACATTCGGATATTTTGCGAAGAAGACTCTACTCTATTTTACTAAAAAAGAACCCTCGGATCAATGATGTTTCATGTTTTGATGGGAAAAAGACCTGAAGAAAATTTACAGAAAATTGGTAGGCATCACATTGTTTGCATGTTGATTGAAAAAATAAAAGAGAGAAGGAAATTAGGCATTGGTAAATGAAATGGCTAAATTTTAAGAACAAGTAATACAATATTAAGATTTCAAAATCTCTGTCCACAGCTTGTTTTTCTTAATAAAAAATCAACAAATATTACGGCTTGAGAATTTTACAGAAACATTAGGACAGGCCAAAAACAGAGAGAAAATCTCAAGAAAAGTGAAAAATTACTTTTCTGTGAAAAAAATATGATGACATGGAAAATTTGTAATGCTGCATTTTGAGATATGTTTTCAGATTGAAACATACACATGCAATGGAGATGTTGCATGTGTGAGGAATTTGCGATTTGACTGTTGGTTCTTATGTAAAAGTTTGCCAGAGACACAATGATGCCACTGTTTTTCTCTGAAATCAACTCCCAAGCTCAAAAAAAGCTCTCAGGTTGAGGCCAAAATGGAGGGGATATCCCACGCTATCCTGAGAGTCCACCTCTACATCAAAACAAACTCTCCATGCCAAGGTAGGGGGCAAATACATTAGCAGGGATGCCGTGTTTGCAGTTTTGGAGTCCCCAAAAAATGGCAGCCCTGTCAATGTATTTGCTCCCTATCTTTGCATGAAGAGTTTGTTTTGATGTAGAGGTGGACTCTTAGGATAGCATGGGATATCCCCTCCATTTTGGCCTCAACTTCAGAGCTTTTTTTGAGCTTGGGAGTTGATTTCAGGAGAAACCAGTGGCACCATCATGTTTCTCACAAACTTTTACATAATAATCAATAGTCCAATCGCAAATTCCTCAGACACGCAACATCTCCATTGGGCTGTCTCATCGGACACAAAAACATGGAAAAATGTTAAAAAACACGTACTTGACATCTTTGGATGAGTCAGCAGACGTAGAGTCTTCTGAGGTATTGTCGAGGCGATCACCTTCACTACAGCCAAGGTATGTGCAGTTGTTTGGCGTTGGGGATCTTGATGAGACACCACTGTCGCTTGAATCATCTCCTCGATTCTGATTTTGGTTGTTATTGTTGTTTGCATGAGTCTGATTTGTTCTGAAAATTGAATCAGTTAATGAAAATTAATAGATGAGTGATAAACAAAATTAAAATCAGTTAGAGAGCAAAATTTATTCAAAGCGGCATTCTGATTCTAATGATATACTTGTTATACACTATGAAAAAATTGAAGGAGTAATTACTTTCGGATATTCTAAACTTCATTGAGTTAGAGGCCATATTACGATTAAAACAAGAGTCCGCACTTGAACTTGTCCGCAGCAAAAAACTGAGTTGCAGTAAATTCTAAGCTTCCCTATTTTTCGAAGTAGCTTCCTCCTTTTAAAAACCGCCTTTCCCTCAAACTGTTTAAGGTGATGACTCTGGCTACCCCTATTGTGTGCCATTACTTACAGAAAATCTTACAGCATCATCACCAGCGAAGTTGGGACATAAGAAGAAGGATAAAGAAACAATTGTAGGTATCCCTTCTGAATGTGTTGAGCTATTAAAAAAACTATATCAGATGAGAAACAAGAATTGATGGAAGCCTTAATTGATCCACCAGCAGGTTAATTTGCTTTAGCAAGATAAAAAAAAGACAAGAAAAGAATTGAATGTATTCCTGGAGGCACTTTGGATCATGTAGTTAAACAAAACGGGGAATACTATCCCTGGTTTCCCTCTTTTCAGCTGTACTTGATCATAATTTCAGAATTCCATGCAGTTAGATAATTGAGTATTTTTTGGGATGTATTCCAAATAACCAGCTTTAAACTTTGAAAGTCAAATTTTCGGAAAAATAGGGTAATAAGTAATTATGAGCTTACCTACTTAACTGAAATTCTGTTTTTTTCTTCTTAAATATAAACAAAAACAAGAACATTTTTTAGTGCAGCCATGAAGACATTCAATTATTGCTGGAGTGTCACCTGGATGGAGAAGTCTTTCAACTTATTTTTTCTTTCTTATCTTAATACGACTTAGCATATTTCTTTTGAGTTAAATCCATTTTCAGATTTGACACAAAAATGTTAAATAAAATAAAAAAATTGAGCACTGACCTCGTTGAGTGATTAGAGGATTTGAAATTGCGGATATCACTACGGTTTTGATGATTAACATGGTTTAAATTGTTTGAATTGTTGTTGTTGCCATGATTCTGATGATTCCAATGATGATGATTCATGGGTTTTGTAAATTTAGAGTGGCGCGGCCCTGGAGCAGAGGCAGGTGGTGGCATCTCGAACTCCCGCCATCGGCCATTGACTTTTGGCTGGGCTGACCAGTACTGCCTTTGGCGTACTGGCGTGATTTCATATCCCATCATTGGATAGATATCAAGAGGAGGACGCGGCAAGCGATCGTTGAAATGATTAGGATGATGTCCTGGCATTTGAAACACAAAGTGGGGCTGATACGTAGTGTGAAACATCATGGAGTGACTCCACTAGAATCTTTTTTTTTTTTAAAAAAAAAATTTACTTTTTACACTTGCTAGGAGGTTAAGCTACATAAGTACAATTACCTTCTTTTTTTTGGCTACAGTTAATATCACACAAAAATATCACTTCTCATTTCTAGTAATGTCCAAGGGGCTCACAAAGACAATTAATTTGTATTTTATCACAAGTCAGCACCCGATGATAGAACCATACTAAAAGAGGGACGCACAAATTATTCACAATAGAAAAAGAGAAAATAATAAATAAATAAATAAAAATAAATATGAATGGAAAAACGAACGAAATCCAAAATTTACTCAAAAGCTAGTAAATTAAAATATTATCTTTCTATGAATGAGAGCTATTTACACAAAGGAATTTCCAGATTTTTTCTGTGCTATTAAATTTTCTTCTATTTAAATTTTTTTGGGACCTATTGCTTTTATTATTAATAAATTCAAGAGAAGTAAAAAAAAGTACTACTTGGTGTGCATAAATGACTTTCTGGCGCAAAATTTCACTTCAAAGATGTTTTATCAGGATGTTCCAGTTCTCATAACAGTTGTGCAGAGTATCATCAAAGTAATAACCATTGACAGCTTGCAAACGCAGTTCCAAACAAATTTCTACAGATTGATGCACAATAATCAGATGGATGAATTTAATAGAGACGAACAATCTGAAAAGAAAGTGAAGATAAATCATTAACAGGGTACAGAATCATGCGATGAAAAGAAAGACAGGGATAAGTAAAGTTACTTCAAATTAAACAACATTTCCCATTGATTTGAAAAACTACTAATTATGTTGGAGAATTCAATTGTTTACAGGATTGATTGCTTGCATTTAAGGATTGGAGCTAGGCAGCTAGTGCAAGACTAATTTTCAGTCCAAGGACTACCATAAAAATAGCCAAAGATGAGAAAAAACATGACTCAATATGGAACAGATACAGGGTTTTTCCCGCATTTCTACTGTGGACAGATTTTATCCATGAAATACTGCTTTAATTTGGAGTTACATTAAACTAAAGAGATCTATTTACAGGAGTGTCATAATCTTCTAACTGCCTTTAACTTTCAATGGAGCCTTCACACCCTTCAGCAGCTAGTGCTCTGTTCTTCTATTACATAACTGTAATTCTGTAAGCGTCCCTATCGAACATGTCTTAGCAGTCCCAGACCACTCTGCGCAAAAGTCTTCTTTGAAAGTTCCTAAGGAGATAGTCTACATTAAATGAATCGAGTTCGCAAGGAGAGATGGTTAAAAAATATTTACTTGTGCAAACATTGATCTTATATCTTCCAGAGTAACTAACAACTCCTTAAAATTCCATTCAAATTATGTATATTGATAAGGCTAAACACAAAAACTGATGAAAACATCAGTGTTTAAGCTCTTCACATAAGATCAAAAATGATCAAAAATGATCAAAAATGATGAAGGAAGGCTTGAGGATCAAGAAGATTAGGATTATTATGAATCAAAGAAACCATCTACTTACTTGAGGTTCCTAGCTTGATTAGAGTGACGAGCTGGGAACAAGATCAGTGCTTCGATGAATAGTACTAAGGTAGAGTTTGTCCAGCACGATAGTTGAATGGTTGCAATTTTCAATGCAGAACAACGATTTAATATTTGATTGCAACTCTAGAAACAAAACAAGTCACAACAGAGAGGCATTAGTAAATGAACACCAAGACAAAGGCGTACCTAATTATCCTGGAAATATTCAGTTTAATAAGTATCAGTTCAATGTACTTGCAGGAGTGCAGAAAGTTCCGACCTAGTTGAGCCATCTGAGCCCTGTCGAATTTTTGCGAGATTTATGTTTACACAGTGGCTCCTGTCTCAGCAGAGGGAAAGCCTAATTATTCAAGAGAAGCTGTTATTTTTATTTTTTGAAGTCTTCAGGGGATATTGATCATGAATTAGAAATGGGAGATGACTTGGAACATTCTGCGCCCCTGGTCACCTGTTGCCTTTTGAGAATGAGTTAGAAAATGAGATGGTATAAAAGCACTGCTATTAAAATTGTGTAAAATAGTTTTCCGCAAATCTCATGCCTCTTATTCATTACTACGCTGAAAAATAATGAGTGAGGTTGAATAGGTAAAATACTTGTTTGAATGCAACTGTTTGCCATAAAACACCATATCTTAGCGAAAATCTATTACCGATTTCTGGGCCCCTCCAGCGTCATCTTTCTTTCACCAAAATGCCCCTAATGCACACATATCCAAATAATCTCTACCTGATTAGTGCTTCAGGAGTTTTCAGCTGTCTTTGACACAGCCTTAAGTAGCTGTATTGGCATAGATGAGTAGAAGGCACTTAGATAGAATGCTTGATCCACAGGTGTATGGGGTAAATGTGAAAAAATATCGTAGTGCAAGAGTAAGGAATTTGGTTCTGTCTGCGTGCAGAGTTCAGCTATTTGCTAAATCAAAACTTTTGACTCATCATCTGCTTGTGACAATACTTAACGATGTGGTGATAGAGGTTCAATGCGATCAATTCTGGTTATGGTATAAGTAAAATCATACATTTGATGATCTCTGTCCATTATTTAGGATACTGCGGTCTAATAGACAAGACAGGACTAGTATATGATATGCTCAGCTTAGCTACGACCAAGAAATACAATAAAAGAACACTAGAATAATAATGGTGGAGGACAGCAGAAGAAACACTTGACGGTAATGTGCCCAAAGGAATTAGTATGAGTAGTGACGAGAATATATGTACCAAATGGAGGGGTTGAATTTCATTTTGGTATGTAAGTGATGTGATTCACGAGGTGGACAGGCATCGTAGGCATGAATGCAGTGGTTCAAATTTTAAATTAAAATGATCTTGTTATTAGGCTTACAGTTCAGTCAAAAAAAAGGAACCCACTTCTCCCCAACAGTGGTGATAATGAAGGTGGAGGACATTTCACTTGTCCGTTCAATCTAGAATTCAGGATGGACCCTGAAAAACGGCTTGCTGGATTGAAAAATCTTCTGCTGCCCCTCTTGAAACCCTTCTAGGAAACAGAAACGTACGGGAAAAAACAGTCCACGAGGAAGAGAAGAGAAGAAACCCTCAACAGTAGGGGTGAGAGATGATAATTTGTCCACAGAAAAAGACATGAGATAAGGATCAAATCTGGGATGATAATTTCACGAATAATACGTACTTGATCCAATATCCAATCATCAAAATGTCACGCAAATACAGGACAGAATTGAGATAATTCCTGAAAAAACTTCGAGAAATTCCTGACACTAACCTAAAAACGGTTACTTGTGCGCAGGTTGGGAAAGCGATAGGGTTGTCGAAAGGCGCGAAATCACAGGAAATGTGAAAAAATCCGATCAATCAAGGACGCACTGATTTCCGCCTAATTTTTTGATTCGCTCTAAAAAGATTCGAGGATTTGAGACCGTGAAAATTCTCTGAATCTTGTTCTGGTTGAGACACCACACCCGCACGAATACCTTGTTTACATTTCATTCAACCGGTGTAAAAAAAAATCATGAACTGCCACTAAGCACGCTTGGATCACGATCTGCGGCGCGGTGCCCTATCGCTTCCCTTTCGTAATCGGTCAAATGGGTAAATCAGGGATCAGTGACACTGACACGGCTGGGCTGGTTGATGTAACTTCACTTGACTCCACCTTTTTCGGTAGCCCTCCTCTTTCCGTGGCTGCGGCACTCATCAAACCATCAACACCCCCGCGAACTTCCACTCCCTTGCAGCTTTTCCCATTCCTATTTTTTCGCATTCGTCGCACCGCACGCTAGTGTTGGGGATATTTTCAAGAAAACCGATATTTCAAACGATACGATATTTCTGAAAATATCGAATATTCAGGTCGATACGATATTCAAAATATCGATATTCTAAAATATCGGTATGAAAATATCGTATGTGAGTGTTCGATAATCACCCGCGATTTTTGAAACAGAATTTAAAAGATAGGGATATAGGAATCATAAAATGTATTTATAAATGACTTACACATCAATAGTGAGACTGTAAAAAGCCAAGGATCTCCATTGTACAACGTTGCAAATTTTCTATCNTTCACTTATCAGCTTCGGATCTGCTCGGAAGCTGAAACTTTACAGCTTGGGTGGCAAGGTTGCCGAATTAACACCACTGCTTGAAATGCATGACTGCGCGATGCGATGGTGTGAATTGGTGTTTGGCAAGGTCGGTATAGTAAAGGTGTGTTAATTTCAGGGAAAGCCGCTATCAATATTGAGAACAGGGAAAAACATTATCACCGCTCATAATGGCTTACGAAAGCTGAGAAATTCCAACGAATCTCGTTTTCTTTCACCGTCACTGATAAATGCTCGCCGCGCCTTCAATTCTATAAACGGCTACCGGTGATACAGAAATTCTGATCGTCTCATACCATCTGCCCGTCCCGCCAGTGGCGTAACTAAGAATTCTTTCTT